CTGCCTCGTGCTCTGTGTCTGTGATCTAATTAGCAACTCTACACCATCAGTATATTCAGAGGTCCATTCCTGCGCCACTCCCCTTTGGCTAAGTACCCTTAAATGTGCAGAATACAAATTCTTGGAGCTCTAGACATATTAAATATGAATGCCTTTGTTGAGTTCTGGGGACCATTTAAGTTAGTATTCAAACAGTCGACCTGATCTTTTCTGGTGTATACTGAGATTTCAAACCTTCTGTGTACACTGTATGTTTCTCTTTTCCAGATTTCATTCACTTGCTCTAATTTTCTCTCTGTACTCTTTTTCTTTCCCATGAAAAGCTTGTTTTTCTGTGAAGGATTTTCTTGCTGTTCCAATAGGAAGCATGCTATCCCTCTTGTATGCTTCTGAAAGACAGATCTGTCTCGAAGTAGAAAGGGATCAAGAGCTAGAGGGACAAAGGAAGGCACAGGACAAAAGCAATGAAAATAAAAATGTGTGTCATGAATACGCACCAACTTCACGCAAGGAATGTAAACAGCAGACTTTTCAAATATGTAAAAGAAAAAGAGAGATCAAGACAAGGAGAAATAGGGGAAGAAGGAGCACAGAAGGTAATAAAAAATAAAAAGAAATTAAGATTACTATGTACATGTGCCAATTTCTCACACGCAATATAAATGATATGTACTTTAGACATGTACCACACAATGCCATGAATGGTATACTACATTGGGATTTAATAACTGATGTGTCTCATCATCCCTTTGATTTGGGCATATCCTATATTATATGCATTTGTTTCCATAATGTCCACTAATTACTAAAGTAGTACCCATTCTAATAACACTAAAAAAATCTTATCCTACTTAGTCATATGAGGCATCATTTCAGCCACCACCTTTGTTAAGCTCACAGGAAGTAGGTTCGCTTGACCGTCTATCTGGTATACCAGTGTATCAGTTGGCTGTCCATTACTATAACAATTGCCCTGAGACAATTTTAGAAGAAAAAAGGTTTATTTGTGGCAGGCGATTGAGCTCAGTGGTGTAAGCATGGCAAGTGAAAACTCATGAGTTTGATCCCTAGTATCAAAAAGAACCAGAGAGAGAGAGAGAAAGAGAGAGAGAGAGAGAGAGAGAGAGAGAGAGAGAGAGAGAGAAATAGAAATTTTGACTCACAGTTCAGAAGGGTTCAGTCCATGGTTTCTTGGAATTTAATAACCGATGTGTCTCATCATCCCTTTGATTTGGGCATATCCTATATTATATGCATTTGTTTCCATAATATCCACTAATTACTAAAGTAGTATCCATTCTGGTAACACTAAAAAAACTTATCCTACTTAGTTATATGATGCGTCATTTCAACCATCACCTTTTTTGAGCTCACGGGAAGTAGGCTCGCTCAACTATCTGGTATACCAATGTATCAGTCGGCTGTCCATTACTATAACAATTGCCCTGAGACAATTTTAAAAGAAAAAAGGTTTATTTGTGGCAGGCGATTGAGCTCAGTGGTGTAAGCATGGCAAGTGCAAACTCATGAGTTTGATCCCTGGTACCAAAAAGAACCAGAGAGAGACAGAGAGAGAGAGAGAGAGAGAGAGAGAGAGAGAGAGAGAGAGATTTTGACTCACAGTTCAGAAGGTTCAGTCCATGGTTTCAGGGCACTGTGGCTTTAGGGTCTGAGGTGACAGAGAAGCTTACCTAGAAGCTGCTGTGTCATGATTAACAGACATTAAAGACGAGAGGTAATGGAGGACTCAGGGTGCTAGCACAGCTTTCCGGAATGGACGTCTACCAATCCAGATCCCATCTCTTAAGTTCCACATCTCCGTAGAGCGTCCACCTGGACAATGAAGCCCTGAACCCCTGCACCTTTATGGACTCTCTAGATTTGGTCTGTAGTAGGTAAAACTGATCTCACAACACTCCATCATTAAATATGAAGTCCGGGGCTGGGGATCTAGCTCAGCAGCATAAGCGCCTATCTGACAAGCACAACGTCATGAGCTGGATCCCCAGGACGAAATATAAACAAATGGATGAATAAATATAAATTCCCAGCAGGAAGGATGATACTGCTGCTTCTTCAACACACCTGGCTCTAAAACCCTCCAGCTCCTTTGATGGGTTACATTCTGCTCCCTCAAATACTAAGAACCACTATGGGTTTTGTCTGCCTTCTCCATAGCTGGCTCCTCCAGAGGATGGTGGGTTAAAGACAGTCACACGCTCGTGAACTATCACATTCACACGTCTGGAGAGGCGAATTTGGTCTGCCTGTGATGCTTGTAGATTTTTTTCTATTTTTTTTCCTTTAAATCTCAACTGGGTCACTCAGATGGAAATGAAAATGTGCCTGCCTACCCCTCCCACGTGGTGTATCTCGGGGAAGACATCTGCTACTCAAGCAGCCAACCGACAAACGGAGCCTGAAACCCAGATCTGGTCCTCATTTTGCTGTATAAAGCAGGCATGACCTATTTTCCACATAGGGACCTCTCTTTCTGTGTCTTTATTTTTCTTCCTTTCCTTTTTTTCTTCTTACTCTTCTCTCTGTCTCTGTCTCTCTGTCTCTGTCTCTCTCTCTGTCTGTGTCTCCGTCTCTGTCTCTGTCTCTCTCTGTCTCTCTGTCTCTGTCTCTGTCTCTGTCTCTGTCTCTGTCTCCGTCTCTGTCTTGCTCTCCATCTCTGTCTCTGTCTCTCTCTGTCTCTGTCTCTGTCTCTCTGTCTGTGTCTCCATCTCTGTCTCTGTCTCTCTCTGTCTCTCTCTCTGTCTCTCTGTCTCCGTCTCCGTCTCTGTCTTGCTCTGTCTCTGTCTGTCTCTCTCCTCCTCAGTCTCCCTTCCCCTCCCCTTCTCCTTCTCATTTCTCCAGGGCAACCAACCTTTGCAGAAAATCTCTTAATATCTTTCTTTGCTTTCACCTTGGCCTCCACCAATTCCTTCTCCATAACGCCACCAGAATGATTGTCCTAAAATACAAATCTGTTTTTCTCCCTGTTCCCTACCCACCTACTTAAAATATGTTATTAACTCCTCACTGCCTACTAGATAAATTCTCCCTTTTTAAACGTAGCTCTCAAAACCCGCCATAATTATTGTAAGTCTGTAGGTATTTCTTTCTCTGTGTCTCTCTGTCTTTCTCTGTCTCTGTCTCTGTCTCTGACTCTGTCTCTCTGTCTCTCTCTCTCTCTGTCTCTCTCTCTGTCTCTCTCTCTCTGTCTCTCTCTCTCTCTCTCTCTCTCTCTCTCTCTCTCTCTCTCTGTCAAAATCTGTTTCCTGCCACTTGGGCTAAACACTCGCGATTTCCAAATATCTGCAAAGGACTGATTATTGAGTGATGTAACCCAGCATGCTTTATCAGCCTCTGATTCACCTTCTCCAACTGACCTATGTCTATGTAACCATTCCTTTCCTGCCTGGAATGAGGCTTTCTTGAGTTTTCTTGTGTCTTTATAACATGTCTTGATATCTCTCAATCCCTTTCCCCTTTCTCTTCAAGAAACACTCATCATTTCTACATTTACAGCTCTGGATGGGCTCGTATGTCCCACAGCTTTTGCACAACCTGCAATCACATGGCATTGTCATCGATTTAGCTCTGTTACCCACCACACATCTGTTTTCTCCAAAATCAATTGTACTATGCACAGGTACGTTTACAAAGCTCAGAATCCACGATGCTCAAAAAATACCAAACAACTTTATAAATAAATCTATCAGTTAATTGGTGGATCTGTGACAAACACCATGAGTTACTGGTCTATTACTAACTGGAATCCTCCAATTGAAATATGGTTTCTAACCTTTCAATTAGAATTTATTCATCAACGTTCATATTTACATCTCTCTCTCTCTGGTTGTTATGGATTTGGAGTTAAGGCAGGGTTTATTTACAATAGTAATACGTTAGAAGATTTGTAATATGTAGCAAGTACTGAATGGAATATATACGTTTTAAGATGTCTGCTCAATCATACAAAGGCATGCGTGGATGAACGTACATGTTTGTATTGTTTACTCTATTATATGTGGTTGTTCTTCTAATATTGTCCATATATTTGTGGATGCATGTGCATGAAGGTCAAATGCATTTTCATACTTTCTTAACCTATGGTAACAAACACGTGGCATTGTAAACAATACATGACACACTGTACTTATGTAGAGAAAGGGTTTTATTTTGGTTCACACCCTCTTCTCCTCTCTATCCTCCATCTTTCCATTTCCTTCCTATGTGAGAAACATCTCTCTTCCCGTTTCCTATTATCTCCCTTTTAATTTGCTCTTTATTTACCTTCTAGGTTTCTCATAGTATAGAAACGATATGATAGTGAAAACTAAGCGTCTCTGATTTGTTTTGCTTAGCATGACCGTCTCAAAACGTATTTGTTTTTCCACAAAAGACTCAAATGCACCACTCTTTATGGCAGAGGAATGTTCCATCATGTTTAAATCCTCCCTTTATCCATTCATTTGTTGATCATAGCTAATTTTAGGGGGATGAGAATTGGAAATTGATCTCAGGACCTTGTGCATACCAGGCAGATGCTTGTGTCACTGAGCTATATCCTCAGCCCCAATCAGAGCTACTTTTAAAGTCTGATTCTGTTTGTTGTTTTGTACCAGGAATCAAATTCACAACCTGGTACTTGCCAGGTAGGCGCTTACGCCACTGAGCTGAATCCCCAGCCCCAACTCTGATTCTGTTTACTAAGGTTCAGAGAATACGACCAACGTGTAAACAAGGTAAATTTATCCAGGATAAGGCTTTTGTGGAAATTGTGCCCACTAACTTGGTATCCCTAAACACACACCCAAATGACCCAAGTGTCCAACGATCATCCTTTCAAGAGCTTTGAGAGGAAACGTCAATGATACCATCACACCCAGTGCTCCTGCAATGCTTAGATTAATGGCCAAACCAGGAGGGCATCCTGTATGCAGAGCAGATGACTTTTTTCCTCCATAAATGAATTAATAAACTGTAAAAAAAAAAAAAAACCCAAAACATTTGAGGTCAACGAATATTTATTTTCACTTCTTGAGACCCACTTCCTATAACAACTCAAGGAATCATCACACGGTGAAATGTCGTCTTTATTTATTATCAGTCTTGTTTTTCACCACATCCTGTTTACATTCTCTGTGTGCATTTGGTGGGTGGGCAGAACACACCCTAATTCTTTTGCTTCCTTTCCATTTCTCAAAGATCTCTCTCCCTAGTTGCTATTATCTTGTATTTTTCCGTCTGTTGATAACTTGTGCTTCTCATGTAAGAGAATCAAAGCATGGGATACTAAAGTTTGTGTGTCTAATTAACTTCCCTTTATTATGGTCTCAAGTTGCACGCATGTTCCTACAGATGACTCAAGTGTATCTTTCTTTCTGGGAGACTAGTACTCCATTTGTGTGTAAAACAACTTTCCTCATCCTCTCCTCCATCCATGGACATTTAGGGTGCTTCTTGATTTTCACTGTTATGAGTGGTGTCGCTATAAACACAGGCACAGACTACTGTGATATACGATGAGAGGGAAAATTTTATCTTTGTGTTGCAGAGATAGCAATAGAGAAAAAAAAATGCTGAAATATACAACTAAGCTCGTGAGTGACTAGAACCCAACCAATCTAACTGAAAAATTTTTGTTCAATTTCAAATAACAGTATGATTATAATTTTGCATATGTGTGTGTGTGTGTGTGTGTGTGTGTGTGTGTGTGTGTGTATGTTTTGTTGGTGAATGAAACCAGGCCCTCACACACAGGCTCTGCAAGCACACCCCCACATAGCTGCCTCTCGAACCCTTCAGGAAGTTGTCTGCTGATGTCTGATTTATCAAATAAGAACTTCAGACGTGGCCTCACTTGTGACCAAACTTCGAACACAAGCTTCCATGGCTTCACGAGGAACTGTGGCCAGGAGGGAGACATTTCTTCAACTTCAGAGTGCATTAAAGATATTTCAGTCTGATGGCTGCATCACAAAGATCGCTGAAATGTTTTCATCAAAACCCTGAGTATATCACAGAGAGAGAGAGAGAGAGAGAGAGAGAGAGAGAGAGAGAGAGAGAGAGAGAACACACACATACACATACACACCACACCACACACACACACACACACACCACACAAAAGCAAGCCCCACTTTACAGTCGTCACCTGGACACCAGTAATTTCATACCAGTAATTTGGACATGGCTGTTTCTCCTCAGGATACAGTCCCAGTAACCCAGCGCCTGGAGCAATGGTGCTTCCCCCATCCTCGAATCCCTGGGCGAAAGACCTTAAAGAGTTAAAGATGTGGGCTACTCCCGCAGCAGCCTGTTTGATGTCCAGGGTTTGCGAAGATCCCCAGGCAGCCCAGGAGGATACCTGCCTGTGCACTGGTAGCATGGTGGCCGGTGTGTGCCCTGTGCTCCCACCCTGGCAGCCGGGGCTCTGTGTCACAGAGGCTTTGCACTGGGATTAGCTGCTCTTTGCATAGGTTGTAGCTGTGTAAGAGCTTTCTGTAGTGATGGGCCCCACGGCGGAGATCTATTGGCTGCTGGCTTTGTAAATTTCATTCAGTTTGGTCCAATAGCAGAGGGAGAGCTCCGGAGACAGCAGGACCTGGCTTCTCAATCTCTCTTTTTTCTTGCAAAGCCGGCTTGCTCTCCCATCTCTGTCTCCAAGCCCAGAGCTCTTATTCAGCCGCTGGCTGGCTCCTTCCTGCGCTGATTCTGACGTCTTTTAAAACAATTTTTCCTCTTCTTCATCTTCTTCGATCTTCTTGTGCTTCTTGATTTTTATTTTTCTCTTGCTGGCCACTGACTTTGGAGAACATAAGCAGCTCATTTCCCTCTGACGGTGGTCTCCCTGTCCTTACATTCCTTTGGATAAGCAAGCCCGGCTGGTGTGTGGTAACCTCCTGAATCACCCTCCTGCTGGGCTCCGGTCCCTGGAAAAATCTGGATGAGTACAGCGCAGTCTGGCCACCGATGTAGCTTCACGCTGGCTCAGGTAGGCACGATGCGAGGATGTCTCTGGGTTATCATTAACCTTCTCTCTCTCTCTCTCTCTCTCTCTCTCTCTGTCTCTGTCTCTGTCTCTGTCTCTGTCTCTGCTATTTCTCCCTTCCAAAAGGTGACGATGCTGGAGACATTTGGTCCCCCCCCCTTAGTCTGGCGTGCATCTCTTTTATTTATTTATTTCTCTGTTTATTTTCTGCCTTCGGTTTGGTAAAATTTGGGCAAGACTTTTTTTTTTTTTTCCTCTCCTTCTACCAGCCACTCCGTGTCTGCAGGGTGGGAGGCTGGGAGGGCGGGTGGGTGTGTGGACATCTATGTGCAGCCCGTCATGTGCTGTGAGCTGCGTGCATTCTGCTCCAGAGACATCTCATTTTATTCTGAGTGTTTTTTTTTTAAGATGTTGGGGGGGGTTATAGGGACCATTTGCTGCCATCAGCTGGGGTAAGGTGGAAGAGTATGTGGCGTGTTTATAAAGTAACGCTGCCTTCCGTATGTATAAACAGAGAGAGAGAGAGAGAGAGAGAGAGAGAGAGAGAGAGAGAGAGAGAGAGAGAAATTATCTATCTGCAGTAAGGATAGAGTCAGTTCCCTGCAAAGCAAGACTAATCCTCAAGGCTGGAGTTGATCAAACTGTGGGCATCCCAGTGTGCCCCCCCCCCCCCAGTCTCTGTCTGTATTTCTGTCTCTCCATCTGGGTCTATCTCTTACTCCATCTCTGTCTCTGTGTCTCCCTCCCTCTCTGTCTCTCCCTCGCTTCCTTCCAAAGAAAAAGAGTCAATTACGACCACCCGGGGTGCTTTTCTTTGCTGGGGGGAGCTTGAGGGGTAACCGGAGAGAAACCGGATAAACAGGCTTGGCTGGCTTTGCTTTAAGCGATTTTTTTCCTGCTTCATCTGCTGCCTCTGATGAGAGGAAGGTCTGTGTGAGGCTGGCAATAACGCACTTGATTGATTTGGGCCTGGTCGAGCTGCTGGGGAGCTGTGGGGCGCCCTGTGGTGCTCTTGGAGACCTCAGGCATAGACCCCATCTTGGAGGCTTAGCGCTGGCCGCATCTGTGAAGACGGGGCGCGGATGCCCGCACCTCTTTTCCTCTGTGTGTGCGTCTGGGTGGAGGAAGAGCATGCAGGGGCTGCCGCTGTGTGAGCAGCGCTGCTGGGCTGTTTTCTCTGGGAGCTTTTCCGTCGGGCCAGGCCTGTGCCGGGGCCAAACGCTGGCTGCAGCCTGAAGCGGGGGGAAAAATCCCTTCAGCTTTTGCAGAGAAAACAGAAAAGTTGGTAACGGGAAAGGTTTTAAGGCCAGGCACCCTGGTCCAGGTCTCAGGGGAACCAGGTCCCCAGCTGCTACCTGCAGCCAAGTACCTTTCCGTCCTGGTCATGGGGAGCAGGATCGACCGGTCCCTAAGGCTGGAGCGGGAACAGAGGGTGTCCACCGACCCCCCCCCCATGATCATGGCCAACAGCACAACCCACAGCACCCCCAGCCCGGAGCCATTCCCTAGTGCTCTTTTCACACTGGTCCTCCTTTCTCCCCAGATCCTTTTCCTCAGGCCCACTGCACCCCCTCCTCCAGGCCCCCCAATTCCTGCGCAGCTGGAGTCTCTCTGTTTCAAGGCTGGCTGGCTTGAGGAGCCTTGGGGAAGGAGGTGGGGGGTCATGGTCCAGAGAGAGAGACCTCCGGGAGAGCTAGAGAACTTGACTCAGGGGCTGACTGATGTGGGGGCGCCCCGTCCTGCACCCTGCAACGTACTCCGGGGGAGGGCTAACCGGGCAAGCTGGAGGGGTGGGGTGGGGGGCTGGGGGAGAAAGGAGAGGACAGAGGGAGAAAACAGGGAGGTGGCATTTGGCTGCGGGGCTTGGGGGGCACTGCTGTGGGAGCTGAGGCCCTGCACCCCTAGGCTGCCCCCCCTCCCGGTCTCCAACGCGCCACGGGGAGCTCTCGCGTCTTTCAGTCTGCTGAGCACCCCCTGCGCCCCTGCCCCCCCAATATCTGCCCCGGTTTTTTCATGGCTGGAGGAACCAGGGGGTTTTAGGGGGTCTCCCGCCGTCCCTCCACCCCTCCCACCCCCGAAGCCAGGTTTTGCGCTCTTCTTGCACCCCCACCCCGGAACAGCCCGGCTGCCCGCGCACCCCTGGACCAGGGCGCACGACTCCGGTGCCTGCAGCCAGCCAGACACAGTGCCCTTTCTTCCCGGAGCGGCGGGGGCAGGAGCCGGTGTGTGTGTGTGTGTGGAAGGGGGGGCTGGGGGGTCACCCCAACCTCCTCCAACTCCTCACCCCCAGCTCATCCCAGCACCGCGGTTTGGTAAGAGCTCCCTGGAAACCGATGTCCCGCTTGGAAAGGCGAGGGGCGCGCACAGAGGTCGCCTTCTGCATCACCCCCTCCCCTTCCCCAAAGGATTTTTTTTTTTTTTTGGATGCGGCCTTTCGCGCACCCCCCTCCCCTTCTCCTCTGGCTGCTTCCTCCAAAGCGAGCGGCGGGCGGGGTGTGGGCCTCTTTTGTGTTTATTTTTGGAACCCAGTGCTAACCTGTCTGGGGTGAGGAGGCCGGATCTGCGCGTGTGTCTGTCTATGTGTGTGGGTGGGAGGGGGTGCGCTGGACGCTGCTGCTGGCGGTGGAGGGGGTGCGTGGGGGGTGCTGCTGGGAGGAGGCGTCAGCATCGTCCCCTGTCGTGCGCGGTGGCTGGGCGCAGGGAGCCCGGGAGCTTGCAGCTTGCGACAGAGCTGGGTGCGCGCGCGCGTCCCGAATACAACCCCGCGCTGGCACGGACGGATGTGGGGTGAGCAGAAGGGAGGAGGGAATCCCCCTCTGTCATCCGCACCCAGCTGGAGATATTTGGGGGTGATGGTGGGCTGCGGGGGGGGGTAGGGGTGTGTGTTGGGGGGTGGGTTTGCTGAACGAAACAGGTGCTGTTCTTGCCTGTGGAATCCACAAGATGGTAGCATGGATACTTGATAGCGTTCCGGTTATATATATATGTATTAATCTATTTGGTCACTGGAGTGGTTGGGGGACAAGGGTGCTGTGTCCCTCTCCTGCACTTTTCAGTGCAGGGATCTGTGGTTGGCGAGGTTTGCATCCCAGGGAAGCGATGCCAGGACCTGTTCGCGTGACGTGGGATGCGCGCAGCATCCCAGCTTAGGATCCGGTCTCCCGTGATTTAGGGGTGCTGGTGCGTGCGTGTGTGTGTGTGTGTGTGTGTGTGTGTTCGCGCGCGCGCGCGTGTGTGTGTGGCAGTTCGGCGGGGTGGGGGGTTTCGGAAAGACCCAAGAAAAAAAAAGAAAAAAAAAAAAGTTTACAGAGCGCTAGTTATCCTGACACGGCAGAATGGCAGCTCCGTGTAGGCGTGCTGCGGAGAACAGGACATGCATTCCCAAGCCAGCTCTGACAGGGACCTCTTCGGAGGCTGGAAATTAAATGCCCAGCATCTGAACAAGCCTGGGCTCTGGGGATGACGATCCGAGCAGATTCGGAGCGTGCAAAGGGGAAGCAGGTTTGCACCCAGGCTCAGGAGGCAGAGCCAGGAAGAGGGACGCAATGGCCAGCAAATCTGCATTTTTTCTGTGGGGGGCGCATTGTAGAGTGGAGAGTTATATCACGCCTTTAATTGGCCTCTGAATCCTTCGCAAAGATGCTCCTGGGTAGATGGAACAGGAGAGGGGCTCCTGGCTAAGGATGCCAGAGTTGCAGCAGAGAAATCTCATTTCCAGGAAAATTAAAAAAGAGTGTTAAGATTCCTTGTGCCATGAAAGACATAGGAATTTCATTGAGACTTCTGCAAATTGGTATTTTCTCAGATGTGCTTCAGAGAACTGTGTTACTCAAGCAAATAGAGAGTGAGTGAATATTTATGTGTACAAATGAATGTATCATATATCTGATATATATATAATTATCTACACATGTATCTCCTGCTATATATATATATATATATATATATATATATATATATATATATATATTTGGTCTTTGACATGTAAGGATATAATCAGGACCAACTGTAACCATTTGAAAATTACTTCATGAGTTTCCAAGTCACCAGTTTAAAATGAGTTTTTTTTTTTTTTTCTTCTTCCTTTCTTGAGGACAGAATGCTTTTCCAGTGGGGGACTTACAAATAAGCCCCTTTTGGGTGGTACTTTTCAGGTGCTTGGCTTGGCTTTGCATTTGTTAAAAACTAAGATAATGCCAAATCACCGACCTCAAAACCAGAAGATCAGCTAATTTTTGATCAAATCTAAGCATGGAAAAGCTACTTGGTAAAGTGCTTGATTGCTAACAAAGACAGATAAGTCATATGTCCTGAGGTCCTTAAAGGCACCAGCAAATAGAAAGCGATGTATTTGCAAGATCATAAATTCTGAGCCCTGAACATAGGACGATCAGAAATATGAAGCATTTTCTGTATCTGAGAACTTGGCTTTTAAAGTTCCCTTTGCAGTAATTGGTGGGACCCTCCTGTAGGATTTACACACAAAGCCACATGTATGTCTGATTTGGCAAATAGCATAGCTTTCAGGATACGCAGGGGTCTCTTCAACAACTCGTTATAATATTCTGGTTTCCTCTGTCCTCTGACCAAAAATATGGAAAAGTTCTTTTGCACACAAGTAAACACCCAGGTACGGGACAAAGAGCTTCAGTGTACCCATTTTTTATAGGAATTGGGATTCCATTACTTGAAACTTTCCTTAGTTAGATGTCTGAGGATGGTTGATAATGTAATTTGTTCTTGAAATACATTATTTCTCCATGAAGGCAGTGAAGACTTTAAATTCTGTGCTGACTTTGATCTGAGCCTTGTTCTAACTGTTTACAACACCCTTCCTTACCTCAGAGGAAAAGAGGTTCTTTTAGGGTGTAAAACACAATTGTAAAACCAGGTTTATTTTTACTTTCTAATAAGACACAGTACATTCATGTTCTTAGACTCTTAATTCTCCCTTGGACAAAGCCTCTTATGCTACTCCTTCTGATTTCTTGAAAATATATGGTAACAAATCTCATCTGTAGGACTTTATATAGCTAGGTCTGTATATTCGTCTAAACATGAATATATTCATATATTCTATATATTCATCTAAATATGAATATATAAAAACACTTTGGAGGTGGAATTTTATTGGACTTATTCCAAAGAAGAAACGTCCAATCCCAGCATAACGTAGGCAACAGATGAGATAGAATACACTTTGAAAATCTCATTGATTAAGGAATCAAGTTGAAAGAGACAGATTTTATTTGGGGGCAGTGTTAATAAAATTCAGAAAGGTGAGGAGATAATTCAGGCTCCCACCTGGTCTGTTTTAAACATACTGTGTATTCTATAAATAAATAGTGGCATGTCACACAGCAACTGGGAAGTAAATCTCGTTTACAAATGGATCTTTTTAGTTTGTGATGTTAAAATTGCTGCTAATTTTGGTTTTAGGGGTTGATCTCTGATTGAATGGTGAGAAAGTACAAAGGAAAATAAAACCTCATATCTCAAAATATATGATTTCCTTTCTTTGTTCCTGGGGATTGTTGGAACCTAGGCCCTTTACGGTGATACACATCCCCAATCCATGTTATTTTAAGGATTGCTCTAAGTGGAAGTTGGGATCCTCCTGCCTCAGCCTCCAGGAGAGCTGTGATTACTGGCAGCAGCCATCGTGCCATTTTAAGATTGGTGACGATGACCTCTATGTGACTTTTAGACCCATCTGTCAATCCCAAGATCAAGCTGGCCTTTGTCTTTTTGAGTACAGATTGTATTTTTTCAAGGCAGGGACCAGGGAATCCTGATTTGCAAAATGAAACCGTTTTCAGGGCTGAAACTTGGTCTGGCATGGAAGTTCATTAAATTAACGGGGGTTGTTTTAAATCGATCTGTGTCTGGATCCTTTACAGAAAGAACAAAAATCAGGGAAACTGATTCACCGCAGTAATGCTGATGTTTTCCCAGCGAGGAGAAGAGGTTCTTTGGGGGCAGCTTTTTGTTTTCCCTTGGCATTGGCTCAAAGCATCCTCTTCCATGTTAAATAATCCTACCTCGTCAATGTTTGGCCCTATGGACCGCATGAGGGTATCACATCGCTCTGGAGTCAGCATCGGCTACTGATCCTGTAGTTTGGAACTGTTCTTTCCACTATGGAATAGAGGCACAGAAGAGAAGCCCAGGAGATTCAGATTTGATTCATTACTTTGCAGATTTTTTTAAACTTCTTGATAAACCTTCCAAGTGAGTGGGTTAGGGAAACTCATCAAAATAAGCACTTTTTTTTTTTTTTTTTTGCAAATTTTATCTGTTGGATAGATTTATCTAGATGATCCAAAATCACATGTATAAGAAAGCCAGTGTGCATAGCAGCAGACTCAGGGAAACACAGCCGGAGGCCAGTTTGGCATGCAACGTTTTCCTCACTCATCTCAACTCAAGAGATGAGAGCTATGCAAGGGTTTCAGAAGGGAATATATTGTTCCATTAGTTTCTTTCTTTCTTTCTTTCTTTCTTTCTTTCTTTCTTTCTTTCTTTCTTTCTTCCTTCCTTCCTTCCTTCCTTCCTTCCTTCCTTCCTTCCTTCCTTTCTCTCTCTTTCTTTCTTATGTTTGTATCAAGGATTAGAACTCATAGCCTCTCGCTTGCCAAGCGGGCACTTGTGCCACAGAGCTGTATCCCTAGCCCTATTTACTTTTGTTTTGATGTGCTCATCTTTTACTGAACTTACCTGGTATTAAAGAATTCAGCCGGGTGATATGGTGCATATCTGTAATCTCAGCCCCTTGGTAAGCTGAGGCAGGAGAATGGGAATTTGATTTCAGCCTGAGCAGTGTCAATACTTGATACTCTGTCTCAAAAAAAATTTTTTTTAAAGGTGGGATTGGGTGTATAGCTCAGTGCCTGCAAAAGTCTTGGGTTTATTCCTAGTGCAGGAGAGACGGAAGGAAGGATATTTATATGAAGTAAAGAAGGAAGATAGAGAGAAAAATAGGAAGGAAGGAAAGAAGGAAGGGGGAAATAAAGGAAATAAAAAGAGAAAGAGAAGGAGAGAAGGAGGAAGGAAAAAGAAGAAGAAGGAGGAGGAGGAGGAGCAGGAGGAGGAGGATGAGATGGAGGAGGAGAAGGAGAAGAAGAAGAAGAAGAAGAAGAAGAAGAAGAAGAAGAAGAAGAAGAAGAAGAAGAAGAAGAAGAAGAGAGTTTATTACTGAAGTTGTCTGTAACTGCTGTGTGTGTTTCTTTTAAGAATGGAGACATTCACTAATAACGAGACCTTAATAAGCAGAATGTATGCGTTTCAGGACAGATATCCTACTGTTTATATGTTTCCTGAAATCATTCACTTCTGAATTTAGAAGTATTTCCCACAATGCTTTTGTTCCCTGTGTTGACCATGACAGGATGAATATGATACCTGTGATGAGATCCCACCCTTGTTGCAAGGCTCCCGCTTGGCTCTCTGTGTGGAAGCTTGCTGATTTCAGCCTGTTCTGTGCGTGGTACAAGAGTCACACCTTTCTTTGGGTCAGTCCCCTCGTAGCCCAGTTGAAAGTCTGTTCTCACCACCTCGTGCCTACCCAACTTTGCAAAATACACACGGATGTTTAAAGCCACAAACACTGGGAAGCTTCCCCTAGTCTCTCTATGGTAATCATCACTCTTTTGAATTCAAGCTTAGCATGGACTGGTCATTTGCACTGTATTCTCTTAGGTCATTTCCATTGTCCTCTGGCAGTCTCTGTGGGATATT